CCTACCCACCCCCCGCAACCTTGACCTCTCCCTCCCCCGTCCCGGGCCTCCCCCTCGCATGCACCTTCAACGCATCGACTCTGGTGCCTGCCTCCCTCTGAATCTGATGTCTCAAATGTCTGGGCGACATTTCGCCCTCAGCCTCGAGACGATCCAACTCCTCCTCATCACTACTACTCACGCTACTAGAGCGACTAATCTGGGTATATACTACGCGATCGCCCTCCTTCTTTTTTCGTTCGCGCTGCTCTTCCTTCATGGCCGCCATTTTCTCCGCGTCGCCCTGGCAGTCGAGGGTGCGGATGTGGAGGCCCGGGAAGTTTGCTGTGAAGAAGGATTTTAGTTGGGGGAGGAGGGCGGCGTTGGGGCGGTAGGTGCCCGAATCGTTGTCGATGACAAGTTCGTAATATGCTGGGTCTTTCTTCGGTGTGTCGTCGTGGGGGGGACCCCCCGCGATATCGTGGGGTGGGTGGGAGAGATTGTTTCCGCCTTCGTCGGGGGGACGCCGGTCCTTGTGTTTGAGGCGGCGGATGAAGAATTCGCCCGAAAAGGCAATATATGGGGCCACATCGCTGTGCATGGTGTGTTTGCTGAGCATGTCGATGCCGAATTCTTTGCCGGTTTCGGTGAAGCGGAAGAGGGCGTCGAGGGTGAGGACGTAGGTGAAGATGCGGCCGCCTTGGTCGTAGTGGACGAGTTCGAGGAATTTCTGCGTGAATTCTTTGCAGGGCGAGCGGATTACTTGGAATTCTGTCGCGTGGTCGAAGTTGTAGACGCGGGCGTGTTGGTGGTGCAGGGCTTTGGAGAGGATGTAACCCCTGGCGCCCTTTGCTGTAAACATGCTCTTAACAAACGGCTTAAACTCGACATAGCGGTGATACATTGCCTCGGGCACGGGGCCCCGCAGCTGCATCTGGTTCGACTGGAAATTGTACTTTTGTGGTTTTTGCTTGCCAGTTCGCAGTGACACTTCACCATCTTCGTTGGGTTCTTTCTGGCCCAGCAGGCGTCCGAGTAGTGGCGAGTAATGCCGTATCCAGAATTGCGGTCCTACTGTGTATGTGCGTCCTCCATTCTCATCTTGTGTTCTGCCTAGTACCTCTACGCTGACGTTGAGTGTTCCGCTCATGTGGTTCACTTTTCCGAAGCAAACCGCAACGGCGCGCAGTGCATACGCTCTCTTGCTGATCATGCGCTTCCTGATGGAATACGTCTGGTCGTGTATGCCTGGCCAGTCCTCGCTTATCGACGGAACGACAACATGAACGTTACCGAGGCGATCGTCATGGTCTGCGGGGTCCTCGTCGTAGATGCGGCACTTGAAGTTGAAGCCCGACGCCGGTACGTTGGCGACTATCCATTCATAGTTCCATACTGGATCGGTGCTCTGGCGCACTGTGTGTGTGCGCATAGTTAGGGGCGGGTCCTCCTTGTGTCGTGTCGGCAGGCTGGTGATGAGCTGGGCGACGACAAAGGGATCAGCCGAGAGGGTGTTGATGTCGGCGAGAGGGAGGTTGTTGGCGCGGTGCAGCGTAAACTTGACCGTGTATCCAGGCGGGGCGCGCGGTACCGGCGTGTCGTCGAAGCCTCCCTCGGGTCCCTTTTTCTTGCTGCCGGCCGTATCCGTCTTCTGCGGTTTTGGGTACTCGACATTGGCGCCATTCGTAGACTCGTCTTTTTCCACCGTCGGGTGTGCCTGTCCATTCTGGACGCCCGGTGGCGCCGAATCCCTCTCTTCCGGCATGCTTGCGACACGCGACGGCGCGTCTAGCCGCAACGTCGACGAGGGCGTTGGGGCTTGGTGGACGGTGGGCGCGTTTCGGCGCAACGGGGCTGGGGAAAGCGCAAAAGGGAGGGGCTAAAAATTAGGTGCTGATTCCGGTGGTCGCAGTGTCATTGAGTGCGGCTACGGCATCGTGTGTGTAGGAGGAGAGAACCCGCGCAAGGCCGGCTAAGGTACACAGTAAGACTGGAGAACGCGCAATCCAAGGCAGGCGCAGCGGGCGGGCGACTGTTGATCGCCAGTGGAACGCTCCGGCCCTACCAGAAAACAAGCACTGCTAAGCCTCGGGGCTAGACAGCCGCCGGTTAGAACGGCCAAGCAGGGCAAGCCAATCCTACGTCGAGTCTGCGCGGGATGGAGGTCCTATTTGCCCGTCTGGCATGCACAGTCGTTTACCACTGTCTACTACTGTCTACTACTGTCTAGACCCCTCTTCTTGGCCCCACCCAACAGGGAAAACTCCCTCCATGTGACATGCGGGAGCGCAGAAGCCACACCATCTGAACTCGAGGGACCACGCTGACGTCACATGCTCTCTTCTCGGATACCGGCTCGTCTCTGCTTCCGCCGGACCACACGGATAGCCGGTCCTGGTATTAGAGCCAATCCATGGTACTTTGCAAATGTAGCATTAAATTAAGATTATCTCTTTTCTTTTCTTTCTTGCAAATCAAGAGTGAAGAGTTGTCATCCGCCACGTCCACCTTGCCCCATTACAGTGCATCTATTGCAATCTACCACGAAGAAAGATCCTCCCTAATAGCAAAATCAACGCCGACGCCATGCTCGCTACTAAATGCTCATATTTTTGACCAGGCAAAAAAAAAGGGGGGGGGGGTATCGTTACAATGAGCGACGTCAGCAAGAGACGCTCATTCGCCAGGCCGTAAATCTCCAGATATCGTCCTATTCATCTTGTGTGGACCGCTTAGGCAGCATGCATGGTGATCTGCTTGCCCTTCATCGACTTCCACTCGACAAACGCAGCACCAAAAATCGAGACCGCTCCACAGGCAACCGACACGTAAAAGGTCTGGGTAAGCGTCTTGTTGTACGCTGAAAGCACGCCAGAGAGGAATTCAGGATCAATAGCGTGCTTGAGCTCAGTTGCACCGGTGCGGAGTACGATACCAGCATCGAGATCGGGCACAATGCTTGCGAGGTTCTTGATGAGCTGGTTGGTGAAGACGTTTTGGCCAACAGAGATGAAGAGAGCACCACCAAGAGTCTGGAAGAACATCATGGTAGCCGTACCAATGGGGACGTCTTCTGCGGGGAGCGCTGTCTGAACAGCAACCAGGATCTGCTGCATACCGAAACCGACACCAGCACCGAAGATGAACTGGTAGCCAATCCATTGCGGGGAACCACTGTCAACTTCCATCGTGGAGAGCAGACCAGCGCCGATGGCCATGAGGACCGATGAGAGGAGCATGAACGGCGTGTAGTAACCAATGGCAGTGACAGCACCACCAGCAAGCATCGAGATGATGACGAGACCGAGGATGGCGGGTAGGTTCATGATTCCAGACTTTGTTGCCGAAGCTCCCTTGATGGCCTGGAACCAGATGGGCAAATAGTAGACCATGACGAAGAAGCTAGCTCCCAGCATGGCACCGAAGAGTGCAGATCCCCACACGTTGCGGTTCAAGAAGACGCGAGGAGGAACCGTGGCATCTTCCTGCCTCCACCACTGGATAGCAAGGAAACCGCATGTGAGGAGGACAAAGAGGACCAAGAGCGCAATGATGCGGCCGTCCTTCCACTGATACTTGCTACCACCCCACTGGAGAGCGAGCAACAAGCAGATAATGGCAGGCAAGAAGCAAGCCGTGCCGGGAAGATCAAACTTTTGAATCTGCTCACGCCATGTGGCCTGGACCTTTCCACCACGACGGGTAACCTGAAAGAAGGGGATGATGAAAGCCGCCGTGACGGCACCAAAGGGAAGGTTGATGTAAAAGCACATTCTCCAGTTGACGTGGTCAGTAAAAGCACCACCCATCAACGGACCAGCAACAGATGCGATACCGTACATTCCTCCGATAATACCCATATATGTGGGACGCTGGCGCAGCGGTACCGTCACCGAGACGATCAGAATGGCTCCAGAAAAGATACCAGCGGCACCAACACCAGCAATGGCACGTCCAATGATGAGCGCCGTCGAGTTTGGCGCAACAGCGCAGATGAGCGAGCCAAACTCGAAGATGGCCAGGGCAGTCAGGTAGATCCACTTGATCGAGTAGTAGGTATAGAATTTACCGTACATGAGCTGCGTCGCGCACGTGGTAAGGAGGTACGAGGATCCATACCAGCCCACATCATTCAGGGCCTTGAACTGGTCCGTAATGCGAGGAATAGCCGTTGCGATGATAGTGTTGTCCTGTAACATGTGCGTGTTAGCCGACGTTTGATGAAGATTGATCGGCGGCTGATTTCATTATGCGTAGGTAGGTGGCGTCGATCACCGTTGTTGTACCAAAGTAGTGGAACCAAGGGGGCTAACGGGTATTGCACTAGAACTTACCAGGGCCATGCAGAAGACGCTCAAACACAACGCTACCGTGATGGCGGCCAGCTTCCATTTGGTCGGGTATTCGAAGTCGTCCTCGTCATTGTTTTCTGGTGCTGGGCTGGCTACCGAGCTGGGTCGCGAACTCTTCTCTCCAGTACCGGTGATGGGGGCTGCAGCATCGACAGCCACTGTTGATGCAGGAAGAACAGTCTCGACAGCACCCTTGTTCTCGTTGCCTGTGCTGGTATTCTGAACGCTAGGCGTGGCCGTCTTCTCAGAGTCCGCCATACTGGATGGACGAAGGTTGTCGTTTGTGGTGCTCATCTGAACAAGAGCAGGGAAAGAGAGAGAGAGGTATGTGTACTTTTATTAGGTTGTTTGCGCAAGTTAATCTTACTGTGCACGCGAAGAGGGTGGCGTAGCAAACAAGAGGGCGTAATGTTATCAGGCAAGAGCAGGATGATGAGGATGGAAGGAGACGGCCTCTAATTATACCAACGACTCGCTACGGGGGCTCAAGGCAGAAAAAGGAGTCATGATACACTTCCCCCAGAAGTGGGTTTTCCGAATGGCAGGAGCTCCGGGACGGGCTCCATTGTCGTACCGCCCAGCGTCGTGCGGACCTTCGTTCGCGAAAGGCCTAGAAGGAGCCTAGTCGCCGGAGTTTAGAAGATGTCCAGACGGCCTCAGCAAACGCCTTCGGCTGCATTGCGGCAAAAATTCGTCCGGCACGCGATGCAGAGCCGTAGTTTCGCTGCCTCATTGCAAGCCACATGGCGCAATTGACGTTCCGCGGATGCATGGCTGATGCTGATGGCCTTGCCAGATTGCACTCTAAATCCATCGCCAGGGGGGGGGGAGGGCTATTTGCTCGGCTACCCACAAGTCAAAAGGCTGTGTGTACGAGTAAGAGAGGCGATCACGACAAAGGCTCTCTCGTTGGCGCATCGATCGTGCGGCCATGTCTGTCTCCATTCTCATTAAGCGTTTCGTTTGGATCGTGGGCCGGAGCGCGCGTGCCCCGCAAGCGTCGACGCTACCGGTCAAGCATGTGCATGCTCAGAGTTCCAAGCTTTTTTTTCCCTTGTTACTTACCCTTGGGACTACCAGTCGGAGTGGTATGCTGACATCATTCTCTATCCTTCTCATCATAACAACACCAACTTGCCAGCACCGACAGGCTATTCCCCCCTTCCCCCCTTCGCGTTGCACATGCACATGCAAGAGTCATGTCCATTGTTTGGGTGACGCGAAGCAGGTCCGCTGCAGTTGTGCACCACCAACTCCAACGGCTGGCACACGCGCAGGGTGCCAAAAAAATGGGTGCCTAATATGACAGGAAGCCCTCCGCTAAACCGCAAAGGATGAATGGGACCGTCCCGGTTTTACGCCCAGTGGACCACCTCCCCCCATAATCTCACCAGGGCGGCTTTCCTGCGCCTTGGTTGGAGAAAGGGAGCTGGGGCTTGGCAGAGAGAGAGGAACATCGGAGGTCGGGGTGGAATTGCGCTCCGCCCCCCGGTTATGCGACGAGAACGAGACGGAAGGAAAGAATGAACAACAGCTCCTGACTCACCGTCCACCAATCATAGCCCGCCTGTCCCGATCACACATAACCACGTCTCTCTCTCTCTCGTTACATTAACCGTTACTCGGATTTTACGGGTGCTGAAGAAAAAAAGAGAAAAAAAAAAGAAACATAAGGGAAAAGGGAAAAGGAAAAAAACTCTAAAACTAAACGGACAACGGGGCGGTGAGCACTTGAAGAATCGAACAAACTCAAGCTTTTTGCTTGCAGAATGCATTCTTTTGCATTTGTGCTTCAGCTCTGTGTGTGCTACATTACACATTGTGTAAATGTTACCGTGCGCCTCGTCGTCTAGTACGCACGATTCATAACTACTCTACTCTACACCGTATCAACGCGCTCTGCCGTCGCATCACAGTGAGCCGATGGATACGTAACATGACGCATGGAAAAGTTTTGCAATCCCGGCCGCATGCCAATGCCACTCGTACACGGCAAGCCTTGATTGAACAGAGTCACAGGTTGAATTTAGCTCTTGCATCGTCGACCTCGGAGTCGGATCCTAACCACGTCTGCGGGCAGCCAGGGTCCCCCCTTGTCAACGCCGAGAGACGGAGATAAGGCTTAACCACGACAGACTACTACTACTACTGTCCCCCTTGGCAACTCTATCTGCCTTATCTAAGTATACGTACGTATCAGTGCACGTTTTGCTGGACCCAGTACCACATTTTCCCTAGATATTCTTCGTCCAGCGGCTTGACATCTCTCAACGTTGGTACCTTGTTACTTGTAGTCGTCATAGAAAACTGCGGTCGCGTCCCTGCTTCGGCGGCTTCACCACCATATGACGCCTTCCACAAGCCCAAGAGCTTCAAGGCAGAATGCTCCGATCCTCCAGACTCCTCTAGTCGC